AACAACATATGTAAGTCTTGTTCTATCGACCGAGTTAAACAATCAGTCCTAACATTTAACGTACAAGAACTAAAAAACTATAAAATAACATAAATTAACTCAAAAGAGAAATAAACTCGTACAAAAAATAAATAAATTATGTCGGTGTCTTTAAGATCTTTGAATAAATGTGTGATTACAATAATAGAAAAGTAATACTAGGAGAACAAAATAGAAAAGTAGTGACTTATAAAAGTCTCCTATCGACTATAGTTTCCAGGACTATATTTATTTCGTTCACTACTTGTCCAATTTAATTCTGTCTGTACCTTGGCCAGACAATTCAAATCTTAGATATTTATTTCAACTTTTCTTTTTAATACAATTTGCTACAATTATACTTTGTTTTAAATTTTTTCCTATTTTTATTTTGGTTCGGATCTAATTGTTAGCTTTCGTATAAATAACAAAAGTAACTTACTCGTAACCATATTAACCACTCTTACTTTAAATCTTTAATCATACCAGATCTTGTAATCTTATGTTTAATCAAGCTATATTTCGTAACTTGATCCCAAAAAAAACAAAACATACATACGTGTCAGCCATTAATAAACAATACAAAAAAAATGACCTTATAAAGATGATAAAATTCAATCCAATTGAATTAAGGGTCATTTGTAATAATAACAAAAAAAATTATAATTAAAAATCTAGAAAATTTTTAAAGAGAGATAGGGAGAAATAGGGAGAAAAAAAAAGAGATTTTGGTTAATTTGTATATTATAGTTTTTTTGTTGTATTTCTACCAAATAATCTCTTGACACTACAAGAAAACTGTAATTTAGCGTCGAAATTTAGCGTCGGATTTTTTTCGACGCTAATATAGCGTCGAAATTGCATCGAAATTGTGTCAATCTACATATTCGACGCTAAATCGACGCTAAATAGGGTCGAATAAATTCGACGCTAAATCGACGCAAATTAGCATCGAATTAGCGTCGGAATTCCTTAATTCGACGCTAATTCGATGCTAATGTTGCATCGATTTAGCGTCGACAACGTAGCGTCGAATATAGCGTCGAATTTGCCTCAAAGTGGTAGGTAGGAGTCACATTAAAAACGAGTTTA